ATTAATAAAAGATAAACTGATTAGTATATGACCTAAGACCAAAGATTCAAGTTACCACAAATGCAGGGAAACTAATAAGGAAAAAAGAAGGGACTAAAGTATTGAAATTCACGATCAAATACCCACAGGAAATGCTTACAGATACTATTTGTATCATTACATGTATATGTATCCTTTATTCTCTGTAGTTTTTGCCCTTTAATAAATTATGGGTTGCAGAAAACATGCTATAAACTAACTGGTAATATACAAAAGACTTCACTAAAATCCGTGAATAATCTGAGTTAAACCCATAGTAGCCCAGAAATTCAAGATCTCTTAATTATCTTAGTAAATCACTATCTGCATAGTGCAGTATTTATGGTACCAGAATTCACCTACTCTTTTCAATCCCCTCAAGTACCCCTACATCTATAGGTGAGGTAGACTATAGCAGGTCAGGGCTGATCAAGAGCGAAATTGAGCGGTTCTGGCAGGCTCATGAGTGAAGTGGGGACTCTTGTCAGTAAGAGAGGCTGAAGTCTGTCCATTTGTATTTTATACATCATTTCTTTATTACGTTACATTCGATGTTCCGTGCTCGACCACATATTAGAACGAGACTGTTTCATACACAGTGAGGATGCAGGGGAATTTCTCTCCCCGGTTTGCTCTGGCCTAATGAAATGGTTTGATTAAAAAAAAAAATAAGAAAAAGGGCGCGCTGAAAGACTCTTCTCTCCTCCGTCTTCCCTCAAAATTGCTTCTAAGTAAAGCTCTTTCAAAGATCAAAGGGCCTGATCCTGCCGTCTTTGCACCAATGGGAGTTTGCCTCCCATCGTGAGAATTTTGCCTGAGTGAAAACTACAGGATTGAGTTCATAGTGTGCTCAGAATCTCCCCTCAATCCTCAGCACATAAATGGAAGCACAGATAGGAGGATCTCTGACATGGCACACAGAAGCAATCCATAGTATGGTCCACTCTTGAATTTCTTACTCAGACAAAATCTGCACTAACTTCATTATTTGTATTAACACCTGGTTCAAAAGGGCTTTTACCATCTGTCAGGTAAATAAGTGACAACAATTGCCCAGGTACATAAATACCTCTCCAATTACACAAGTCAGGCTGAAAAGAGATGATCCTTACCTAGATTGTAAGATCTTCAGGGCAGGGACTTCAGTTTTTATTTGCCTGTAAAGCACCAATCAGTTTTATGTAGCTATATACAAAAAATAATATCCGCAATAACAGAAACTCAAATTACAAATCTTCTGGCTGTAGGCATTTTTACACCGTTTTTAAAAAATCATTTACTTTTTATTTGCAGAAGAAGTAAATAGTATTTTGTTCAGTTTTGTGCACTTTCACTAAAAAAAGGGTTGGGGGAGGTTTCATTCCAATTGCAATTGTGGGGGCCAATATTTGTCACTATGGTGTAGGCCATTTCTGGTATAAAAATATAATTATTATTGCTAAGTTACCAATATTTAAAAATGTGGATATTTGTGAAATAAAATTTTAAAATGTAGTTTACCAGTTGTATTTAGATTAAGATTAGAACTCCATGGATTGACATCCTACTTTTTAATGCTTTATTGAGATACTGTGGCAAAGACTGGTTTATGAACTGATGTAGTCCTACCATGCAGCATATGATTTATCTGATATACCCTATAAAGTACATATTTATTAAAATTTTACAGGTGATATAGCATATCTCAGGATTAAAATATATTGGTTATGACTATGTAGGGCTTGATCCTGAAATATTACTAAAGCAAAACTCCCATTGCAGTCAAAGGTGGTGTTTGGCAGAGAGAAAAGGAGAAGAAACTGGAAGGTGCATCCTCAATGACACCTCTCCTGCAATTCTCTGAGAAGCCCTCACCTCAGTGACAAGCCCCTCACATATATTCCCCCATAAGACTCCCAGAGCCCAATCACTTTTCAGTGTGTAGAATCCTACCAAATCCCATACTCCATTGCCAAGCACCTTGCCTGGCTGCCAGAACTCTTCCTCTTTCAGTAGCAAATGCTCCCAATTAAACCCATCAGCTGCAAATATTATTTTCCCATAAGGTGTTGCTGACACCTCTAGTGGGGGCAGGTGAAGTTTGCTTTTGAGTGTTCTATTCTGAGTGACCTCAGCTACTCCTCTGCCCCAGGTATTCTCTCGTGAGTTTCCATGAGGTTCTATTTTGTCACTTCTGTTCAATATATATATGAGATTACTGGGGGAGATAGTTGATCCATAGATTCTAAGGCCAGAAGGGACCACTGTGATCATTCTAGTCTGACTAAAGTGACCTGATAGCAAGTCTGAAAAATAGGGACCCTTTTGGGGGGAGGGGTATAGTTGCCCCTATATCGGGATGGTCCTGATAATATCAGGATGTCTGATCATCCTAAATCTGACCTCAGTTAGTGAAGCTTTTGATGCTGATGTGCTTCCAATAAGTAGGTTACACCCAGCTCTGTGTCTCCAGTGAATAAGCCTGTGTGCTGAAGTTAAACAATCCAGCCAAAGCAGTGTTTGGCAATCCTTTGGATGAGGGTTATCTTGCTAAAGTTAAATCCTTATCAGATTTAGGTAATACTTATAGGCTGGGGGAAAAACAGAAAAAATGGTTTGTCCCCTTGAACTTACAATAGGCTTTATGCAGGCAGTCAATGACATTAATGGGGCTCCATGCAGGCACAAGGAACAGCCCATACACAGTCCACTGCAGGATTGGGGTCTATGTCTGACCCCTCATTTGTGGGCACTTGCCTGCCATTTGTCAGCCAAGTATGTAACTTGGACTCCAGCAGCTTCTAGCTATCCAGATAGTTGCACTGGTGTGACTGGCCACATTTTTCATCTCTGCTTGGAAAAAATGTTGGGACTCTTTCTCTTTTGGATGAGGACCTTGTTAGTTACCGATCCCTGTCACCTAACAACTGAGTTACTAATATGTGAGACAGTAGCTGAGGCCATTCAGAAATTTCAGCTGGTGCAGAATGTTGCCATCTGTATGTTTCATGGTACTTTTCACATAAAGCAAATTATACCCATTCCCTGTGATCTGCACTGGCTTCCATTTAGTTTCCTGGTGCAGTGTAAGGTGTTTTTTGACTTCCAGCACCCATAGTGTCTTATGTTCTGGAAATTTTAGAAACTACCTCTATCTTCATATGATAATGCAACAGTTATGATCAGCTACAGCACTGGAGTTTACAGCTCCTGATTTAAATCAGAGACTGTCAGTGGCTTCAATAAATGCATCTTCAGCTATGGTACCCACCTTTCCCCTAGGGTCCAGTAGAGTCTGCATTTGTTGCCATTCAGCTCACCTGGCAAAGCCTATCGATATACCCAGGCTTTCCCTGGAGCGGGATTGTTGGGGATTAGAGAGGGGCTGAAGGAAAGGAATTTGCTTGTGGATGGTAGGATTTTTTTCTGGATAGTGACCCCCCCAAAAAGTGTTCTTCTAATGACTGTAATGGTGTCCCAGAGCTGCTTTTTTGTAAATACAAAAATAAGGCCTTTCTACACAACAAGTATAGTTAATGCAGTACCATCACCCTACTGTAGACAGATCTCTACAGGACACATATTTTGCTTTTCTTGTGTCCCTTAATGCTATTTTGAAACAGTTGCTTGCCCCTGGCCACCAGTGTGGTTCATCTTCACTCTCATGAAGGACTTACTGGGTAGTATAAACATATAAGTAGCCCCCAGTGATAGATGATTCTAAATAAATGCAAACAGCGGAGATGCCGGATTGTCAGAAGACCCAGAATTGTTTCTTTCCCCAGCAATGACTCTGCAGAACCTGCAGAACACTATATGTCCTCTCAGGAAAAAGGCCTGAGCAGGGTTTGAGCTGGCTGGTAGGACATCTTTAGGAGGTATAATTTAACCTGTGCAGAACACCACCACCACCAGGCCAGTGCATCACTCAATCCCACCTAAGCCTTGTTGATAGAGGTGCATTGGCTTCCTAGGGGTCCTCTGCACAGGACTCTGTTTCTCCTGTTGTCACACATTTCCCATATGGCATTTCTTTTGAAATAATAGTTTACATGCGCTCACAAAAGCATCTTTAATTTGGTAAACTCTGGGTGTGTTTACAGCTCATCTTGAAAATATCCAGAATCTTTTTAATCAACTAAAAAAGGAAAAAAAATACCAAGAGGGTGAAGAGAAAAAACCTGCTGTATAGCAGAGTCCTCTGGTACCTGGTTACAACCTAGGGAAGGGGTAGTCGAAGTGTAAAAAACGGCCCACATGGCAGGAGCTCCCCCACAGCACCCTAGTTTTTGACATGGAGTTGATGGGAGACCACAGGTCCCACAATGCAATGGGCCATCGCGTGGCCTAAGGGCCCTCCTGTTAAGTTCAGCGCGGCTCGTGAAAGGCTGGAGCCGGTAGTCTCCCCATTGCAGATGGAGGTGGCTTCGCTCTGCTCCCTTTTACACCTAGGTGTGGGGCCACTCCTGGCCCGCTGGCGCCCATGCCCGGGGAAGGGGGAGGCGAACAGCCAGACACCCACCCACGCCTGAGGGAGCACGTGAAGCGCCTCCCGTCCATCGTGGGGGTGTGGGGCTGGCAGGGGAGCCCCTGGGAGGGGTTGTTTTCTGAGCGTTTCCAGCTGAACAGAGATGCGGGGAGAGAGGCTGGTGGGAGCTAATTGCTTTAATTGGCCGCCACGCCATTACAATTTCTTTTTGGAAGTGCAGTGTTTATTGTGAGAACACGAGTCCCCTCCCCCTGAAAGGAAGCTCGGGAGACGCGCGGGCCCCGCCATATCAATTATTCAGTCCTCTCTCCCCGCCCCGCTCCCCCGTGTAAACAAATCCCCCAGCCAGCCCGGCGTGCGGCGGCGGAGGGCGTGCAGGAGCTCGGCCTGCTCCTCCCTCGCTCCCTCCCAGCGCCCGCAGCGGGCCGAGAGCGGCCTCCCTCAGGGCGGGAAAGGGGCTGACCGGGGGCGGGGGCCTTCCCTTTCTCCTAGGGCCGGCGGGGGGGCTGCAGGCTCGAGCTCCGTCCGACGGGGCGGCTCGCCAGCTTCGGGGAGGAGCTGAGCTGCTGCAGGACGCTGCCCGACCGCCGAGACTCCGTCTTTACTCCCGGGCATCCCTCCCAAGCCTGGACTGCGAGCTGCCGGGCCCAGCCATTGCAGCTTCCCCGCTGGGTGGGTGTGTGTGTGTCTGTATTTCTCCGTTCCTCGCGGGGCTGCGCTCCTCCCACCCCGGAGCTGTGGGCCCCGGGCCCCACAGCTGTGTTAACTCGCCCGCTCGGCAGGGGGGGCTGACGTTTTCCAAGGGCCGTGGCAAGGAGCCGTTACGGGCCAGTTAGCGATTGAGTCGGGTTTCCCTTTGCAGAGGCTCCCCCCACCCTGGTCCCGCAGGGGGTGATGGCAGGAGAGGGGTAAGATCAGGCTAACGCGGGTTCCTCTCTGACACTTTGGTATGAATGTTTCCCAGGCACAACAGAAGCACGTCGGCTGATCCCCTCCAACGCGTGTAAAGACAAGCGATAATAATATCCAGGGGGAGAGTATCAAGAGAACTGAGCATCAAACCCATCTGACTCCACTATTTCTTCTCGAAATAGTGATTGTGATGAGGAGAAAATTGTGAAGAAGCGAATGGGTAAGAGCAGCTGGTAGACAATCTCTTTGGGGACTCTCTCTCTTTAATACATTTATGAGTTTAAAAACCAAAAAGCAGCAGTTTAAGTCAACACTTCAAAGATTTTTCGGTAGCGAAAGGGACACTAACAAAAGAAAGTGTCTGAATAACAAACACATCGCTCTGCCGGCGAGTTTTAAGACATTTTAAGTATAAAGAATAAGTGACATGGCAATCATCCCCCCTTCCCCCCCCAAACTTTGCTGCTTTCTGATTCGGATGCGAGGGTAAAATCTTGCTAACAGCTCGTGTATCTGTATATTTAATTGCGACCTGGCTGCATGTTCCTGTTGAGGAAGGATGCAGATGACAAGTGAATATATAAAAAACAGTTGACAAAAACAGGAAAGAAATAACTGACAGATGAAAAGACAGTCAATGCGGAGCTAACAGGCAAAAGCATCAGTACAAAGTCACATACCTTCTGAGAGGAGCAGTAGTTTGTTTTATTCCAGATCTCCAGAGTTTTATCTACTGTCGGTGTGATGGGGGAGAGAGGAGCTAATGTGCCCTGTTTAGGAGACAAACATGCAGATTAGATCAGACTTCTGACACCATGTTTCACTCAAGACTTAAAACGGAGGAATAAAACAGACTTCCCCCACTGAGGAAAAGGAAAATAAAACAAAAGAAAAAATCCAAGACTTTCTAAGGGTTTTTTTTTTACTTGTTTAAACATAACCGTTTTAAATATACCTAGAGTTAGGTACCTAGAGTTCAGCTGGATCAGTGGGTCTCTGTTATATTCGCACAAGCTTAGTGTGTTGCTCTCGAATTGAGATGAAGTTCAAATGGAGGCCTTAAGCTTTCCGTTTCTATTGTTTAAAGGTTGGGACATTGGGAGAATATCAGCCCAGCTCCCATTTTTCATCACTTTTGTATTACTTTAAGTTTTCAATGAGACAAGTGTAATTACTAGGCATTTAACTTTTTGCGAGGCTCTTTCATTATGGCTTTGCATTTGCACCTCGCTTTTAGAGAAGTAATAACATTCACAGTCAGGGGCAAATCCTGTTAATGAACAAATTAAAGTTCAAACAGTTATTCAAGTTCACAGCCCTGCTCGCTGCTCCTTTAATAAGAGTTATACATGTTACTTTCTCTCGGAATCTCTCCCCCCTTTTATTACTTTTTAAGCTTTTCATAAACACAGCCGGGCTATATCTGCGGCTCCCAGCCTCTAAAGCTCCCTCCAATCCTGGAGGGATCCTTAATCCGACCTTAATTTGGTAACTTTTGTAAAACACATAAAAGCTGGGGTACTACCTTTGTGCGCTCAAATGACTATATAATAGTGAAACAAGCCAAAGGGAAGTTCCCCCTCTTTGCCTAGACTCCTCATGCCCTTCTGCTGGTCGCTCTACCCCCTCTCCCCATTTGCAGTGAAATCCTGATTACTCCCTCAAATTCCTAGGGAGAAACTGGACTTGGCGTTTTCTGGGCAGACAGGGAGCAGGTGCCCCTGGACAAGGGCTGGTCTTTCTCTCCAGGCATCTGCCTGTCTGTGTATCCATCTGGGCGGTCTGTCTGTGCAGTCTGACCGATTTGGGTTGCCTGGCTCCTGTCTGGTCTGCCTGCCTAGCCAATCTTATGTAGTTGATCTGTCCTCTCTGGTCTATTTTATCTCTCCAGTGTCTCACCTATGTGGCCAGTGGCAGCTCTGGGCCTGCGGGTCAGGTCCCCTCCTGTGTATCAGGCCTACAAGACGCAGCAGTTGCAATAGCAGCAGCAAGGCGTAGCTTGCTTGTCTGTCACGGCCGCGGCCCTTCCCCGAGCCCCCGCCCGGCGATCGGAGGGAAGAGGCGAGCTCGCTGTTTGCCAACAAACTACGCGGCGCTTCCTACGGCTGTCCCGAGCAGCCTGTCTGCAAATGGGAACCAAGTGCCGTTCACCGAACTCCCTTTCCTGCTCGCACCGCTTCCTCCTCCCCCTGCCTTCCCATCTTTCTCAATTAAAGTGTCTGCCGGCCCCTAGGCATTTGCATATATGAATCCTAATTCCCCTTGTCAATGGCTGCCCGGCCTAGGGAGCCCGGAGCCTGCGTCCCTCCAGGTGGTGCGCAGGGAGCGGATCCATGCGAAGGACAGGCCTGCAGCCCCCGCTGGTCCGGGCGCTTTCCCCCCTTTCAATCGCAATTGTCAAATTCCACTCCTTTGTTTTACTCTCCCTCCCAAAAGTTCAAGGCAGAGCCGATGCAAAGCGCTAGCTATGTACAAATCGAGGAGATCACACTCCCCATTATCTACCTCCTGGCGAGTGTTTGATTTGTGACATCAAAAGCTTATCAAGACAAGCCTACAAAAAGCACCTCGCGTAGGCTGGGCTGAGCGTGGAGGGGAGCGATCTCGCTGGTTTTGGATGGTCTCCCTTCCCAAGGGGTGGGGCAGCAGGGGTGCATAAAACGGTATTGACTGCCACAGCAAATTAAATCGCTGCACTGAAGAGAGCTAGTGGCCAGGGCCCGGGTGACTGCTAGTTCCCCGGCTGGTAGCGTAAAGAATTTCCTGACCTGCACCCGCAGGGCAATATTGGGGGTCTGGCCAGCCGGACAGAAGGGGCGTAATTGCCATGCTTTGTTTTTTTGTTTTTGTGTGTGTGGTTGAGGGTTATATGGAGGCCCTGAGTCCTCGCAGCCATCCGCTCCGAGTGGTTTGATATAATCACCATGACAACTGCAATCTATGAGCATACAAATAATAGAGATGAAATAGACAAAAGATTAGCATGCCATGAAAAGTACAATAAGTTTCTTATTTAGCATTTAGATAACTGTCTTTCCTTCGGAGCAGGCTTCAAAGTTGAACCCAGTTTAGACCAAGAGGATTAATTCTTTCTCCAGCATGCTTCATTGAATCTCTCATTACCAAACTTTGTCTGTATTGATGTTAGATTTGATTGAAGATTAGAGCATTTAGCAAATCTTGCTTTTCTGCATGTATCAGGCCTTTTCAAGCACAGCCCGCCCTGCCCAGTGGTCAATACCCTTACTTTTATCCAGTGTCTGCTTCATTTAAACTTAATCAACTCCATCAATGAACTGGAACAGGGAAACGTCCCTGCGGTGAGAATGTTGTGCTTTTCTTAGATAATTCTTTGCTCCCTTTCCCAATCCGTTGGCGTTAAACCTAAAATTGCACTCTGATGAACTTAATCAATATGATAATGACAATTGGGGCTGAATGGCTCTGCTAGGGCTCAAAGTGGAAAAGGTAGATGGCTGGGCCCATTACCCAAAACAACTTCTCTTGTCTTGCCTTTTCTTTTGTGTGAGCTACTCCTATCTTTCTTTCTTTTTTTCTTTCTTTCCTTTTCCCTCCCCCTCCCTGACACTGAATACTGCTCATGCTGGGAAATGATGCATCTTGGTGAGGAAAAGTGAAGCAGACCGATTGGCTCTGTGAATTATCTGGCTTGTTGCAGTGAATTATTTGCACTGTTTCCTTTACCAGTCAACAAGTTTCTGAGGTATAGTACAGATCAATCAAAGCTGACAGAGCGTATGTGAAGCTTTTACTGTGTAAATCTGGACCTCTTGTCCTGGCTTCGTTGGCACTGGCATCTGTATATCATTTTTATACTGCTACCAGTAGAGCAATTTCAAAAGTATTTGCAAGGAAAATGTATGTCCCCATCTGTTCCTGGAATCATAAATGTGCCACTTTTGGAGGGTTTTCACTGGTAATCATATCTTTAATGATGAACAAACTTGTGATATATACCTTTCCATAAAATGGGGTTTTCTTCACTTTATTGTGATTGGCTAGGATAAATAGCTTTTCCATATGTTAGGGAGATAAAATATAAGATTAGCAGGGCTCGTTTGTTTGATCATAAACAACAGAAAAAAATCATTCCAAATACTCTTTAAACAGAAACAACTACAGAATTAAGTTGCATTAATTGGCTATCTATGGCCCACCTCTAAGGGGTAAACAATTGCCTCCCTGGAAATGACATTTTAAAATAAGATTATAGTGTTTTGTTCATTCTGAATTATAATGCATTTACTGATTTTAAATATTTTATTATTATTTTAATTTTTGATGCATTTTTGTGTCTTCAGATTTTTTATTTTGCAGGTTCGCTTTTGATAGCAATCTCTATAGCACAAAGGGTGCTATTTAGTAAGTTGCCACATGTATATTTAGAAAGCAGATGTGGGGGGGGAGAGAAATGTCTTTAGCAGTCTTTGCATGCTATTGTTGTAAAGGTTCCTCAAGTAAGAGTGCTTGAAATGTAAATATTCAATTTTTAAACCAGCCAACCTTTTGCACTTGCTGGAAGTGTTGAATAAAGAATAGTAAGGGGAGTCTTTTTAATTTTGTTGCACTTCATGCTTAAGGTAATGTTATACATGTCATATGAAAATTACAGGTGCAATTGGGAAACTTACCCAGAGTCCATGACGGTGTGTCTGTCTAATGAACGACCCTGGCTGTTGTGTGACAACCATTTTAGTTTTATTACTGGTGGTGATACTGCTTTTCAACCTTGGTATGTATGCGTATTTTAATATATGCATTTCTGTGTATAAAGAGCATTATTCTCTTCAGTATTACATAAAATGTTAATGAAGACCTAAATAGAAACGCTATCATAAATTCCAAACGGCAGTGAAAAGGACCATGAGATATGTGTTTATCTCTCTAGCTGTGTCTTTTTGTTTATATCTATACATGATCACAGACATACACAGAGCACATGCATACATTTTCTGCTGTGATGTGTACTGATTGATACATAAGCATATGCACAGACTGTAGGAAACATTCATTGTTTACAATGTTGCTTGGAATTTCTTACAGGAAGCTGTCCTCTGTCTCTGAAGATTCTGCAGAAAGACTGGTAGCTATAGAGCATGTATGATGGGAGCAGGGCTGCCCAGAGGATTCAGGGGGCCTGGGGCAAAGCAATTTTGGGGGCCCCTTCCATAAAAAGTTGCAATACTACAGAATACTATATTCTCGTGGGGGCCCCTGTGGCAAATTGCCCCACTTGCCCTCCCCTCTGGGCAGCCCTGGATGGTAGACAGTATAATATACTGGAAATCATCATACAGTTCTTAGATTATGCTAAGCCAGAAATGATGTGTGCATGGTCGTCACTAATATATATAATGTAAAAAGTGTACTGCATTTCCCACCATTGAATAGTATCTTTACACTACGAGATAGCTATTGAGCAACTATGGGGTCTACTGATCTCCGCTAATAGGTGGAGATTTGCACTCCTAACTACCCATCAGTACTGAAAGAAGTTAAACACTTAAATCCATCATATAGTGAACACCCAAGGCTAGATAAACATCTTTACACCTTTATGTTGACAAGCTTTAAACACTCAATTTTCTTTATTTTTGCAAGCATTGCAGAACCATAGAACACAGTGAATTTATTTAACACCTATGATCATCTCACCTGCATTCTACCCTCTGATCTACCTTAGCCAAGACCACTTCTAATGCTCTACACCTCTGAGCAGCTTTGAGATAGCAGCCATTTTTGCCAAAAAAACCTGACATAAACATTCATTTCTCCTTTCCCCCTCCCCGCCAAAAAAGAACCAGTGGGATTTAGAATCGTATGATGCAAAGTCCAGGATTGGCATTATTCGGTTCTGAATCAGCATCAGATTTGACGAATTAAACTGCCAGGGGAAAAAACCCACTTGCTAAATCTTATTGGAGGGCTAGGATTCCAGGCCTTCTAGTAATCTAGATGCTGCAACTTGTCTTGTCTTGGCAGGTAATGTGATATTGGATCCCAGAACTGTGACTATCACTGTTTACAGAGAGGCTCCTTTAAATCGCTTTTAAAAGTTTTAAAACTAATTAAAATGTTTCTTTCCACCAGTAACCATAATTGTCAAGCACAACCTACCCTCCGAGATAGGCGGATAGGGATATTTGTATCAACATAGATTTTAAATTCTAAGAGATTTCCAAAAAGAGTTTTAATCTAGTATTTGGCATGAAGGAATCACCTGTGCTATGAAAGGGTATTGACACACTTGTGATAGTCCCTTTACCTCAGTGTTGAACCCAGAAAGGCCAATTCTGCCCCCACTGAAGTCAAGGGGAGCAGGAGCTATGTTGGTGTGATTGCCATTTTCAGTACACATTATTCAGGCAACACCATTTAGTGAAAATGTGGAAGGGAAAAGTGAAGAAGAAAAACCCCATGGAAATAAGTGAAGTGTGGGCCTAATCCCCCTTCCAGCGAACTCAATGAGAGGAGGAAGATTGGAGGAATCATGTTGGACCCCTCAGTTATTTTTGTATGTTCAGTCGTACACTGTAAGATTAAAATGAACCAATTTAGGGCCAAATTCTGTCCTGAGGTGTATGTGCATTGGCTTTCATTGGGTGTGCCTCTGAGGCCAGAATTGGGCCTTACATTTGTTTGTTTAGCTGCTGTTTGAATTTGCAACTTAATGCATTTATTAGACTGTTTTCACAGTGGACTACACTGTTGCAGTACATGTCATGCTTGTTATGTGTCTATCTAAAGCTCTCCAACGTGGTGTGTTTTTAAACATTTAGGGCCAGATCCTTAATTCTCTTTAAGTTGACTTCAATGGAATTTTAACAGGAAATGTGGGACAATCGTGCTAATTCTCTATTCCCTATATTCACACACTTGTAACTTGGCTATTTCCAAACCAAATTTTATTGGACCAGCCAAAGGCTTATTACTTAGGCACAATTCAGCTGGACATTTGCTTGAATAAAGAGTGCAGGATCAGGCCAAAGTCACTGGCAAATCTGACATGTTAAAAATAAACCTGTTGTTTGAATTGCCCAAACAAACAAACAAAAATCAGGAACTGTTAAAATGTGAAAACACCTTTTTTCACATTCCCAGGGCCCAACCCTACAAGCACTTTACATCCAGAGCTCCCATTCAAACCATGTCAAAGTCAATTTTTAAAAAGAGCAAAATAGAATTTGTATTGATCTCTACACACACACACACACACACACACACACACACACACACACACACCCCTTTGGGCTGGGAACAAGCATGTCATTTTTTCCAGAGATGTCTGTAAATAGATTTTCATAATGAAAGTGCTTAACCTACTTAGCACCCAGCACTCACTATTTTGTGCAGCCAGCACCTTCATTGACTTAAAGAGGAGGCTGGGTTGCACAGCGAATGCAGAATTGGGCCCCACATCTAATGCAAAGCTTTGGTACATATCAAGATTTTACCTCACCTCCTAGGTGTTCCAGGTATGTAGATTTGATTTTTTCTTTCAGAAGTACACTGGGAAATAGATTGTTTGACACTATATAGTGCTTAGTGGCTTATTGAACTGAATGTTTATTGGAACAGCAGTGGCTCCAATTAACTCAATTGGCATTAAAATTGAAGTTATAAACATTTCTATTATTTTCTTAGTAATTCAATCCAAATTAATGCACCCTAAATTGTTATTGTATAAAGAACTAATTGCACTTTGACATTGTGCAAAAAGGGTTTCTGTTCTCTAAGTAAACAATGTTGATTTAGAGACAGCGAATGTATCTTGGCATATTTAATATCCTAATGGTCTTGTTTTATTCTTGACTTTAATTTTACAGGGAATATCCCTCCTATATTGTGGAAAGAATATAAGATGAGCTTCACAATTTCATTATGGTCGCTTTCATGTGCAGGAAGCTTTTCAGTTTAAGAGAAAATCTGAATCTTACTTTCATATAACACAAATACTGTAAAAGCAGTATCTGTGTGTCAGCATTTCAGTGTGTATTTTAAAGGGTAAGTAAAAACCACTTAAGAAATAAATTTATATTTTTGTTTTAAGATTATTGTCAAACCCCTCTTTTTTTTGTATGCAAAGAAAACCAAATGGGGATTAATAAAACTCAGGGGCTGTAGTTAATGCTGTTAAAAGCAGAGGGCAGACATTTACACTGCAATGCATTACTTATTAGAGAAATCCTAAACAGTTTTTAAAAAAATATTGTACAAGAGTAATCAAGGAATTCAAGAAACACTGCTGCAAGCTGTGATCATGCACTTCCTAGGCAGTTAAACCTCCCTCTGAAATCAACTGAAGCCCAGTGAAGTCAATGGGAATTTTGCCTGTGTAACGACAGCAGGATCTCCAGCCCAGAGCCTCTACAGTTAAAAGATCACTTTGAACTAGATGATTTTGTATGATTGATGTGTGAATAGAATTATTTGGTTTTTATGGGGGTTGGAGGGATATTACAAAGAAGAGGAGAGGGAAATGTTACATTTCCCATTCATCATTTTAAAAAGTAATACCAAGGCTGTGACTTCACTTTTTCTTCAAAAAACATTGTGGAAAAAACTAGCTGATGCCACATTTTACAATGGCCCATCTCTGATCAAGTGATGTAAGGAGTTGTATTGTCCTTAGATTTGATTCCATGGCAAAGGACTGATGACACTGATGATATATAATTCCATGAGACGATCTCTCTTTTTGGCTGTCAATTACTGCTCCATCCCCAAAACTAAGGGAGTCTGCTGTTCACTGGATTTAGCATAATCACTTGCCACAATCTTAATTGTTTAGGAGGTTTTAGGGATCATTTCCTCAGAGTTAATTCAGAAACAAAGCACAGAGATAAGTCCTTGTAGCATCTGAAAATACCCATGTGATGGAGAAGGAAATGGATGGGTCTTCTTTATGGTCAAATAGAAGACATAGGGTGAAATCCTCATCCTGTTGAAAGAGAACTTTGCCATTGACTTATCTGGGCCAGGATTTCACCTATGTTGTTTATAAAACTGGTACTGTTAAAACTAGAAGCCCTGATCCTACTCCCAATGAAACCAGTGGGAAAACTGTCATTGGGAGTAGGGTCTGGCTTCAGTTTTCAAACTCCATTTGATTCTGCTTTGAGTCAGTTTCTATGCTTGGCAAAGATCTGCAGATCAGGGTTTCTTCCTCCTTCAAGAAGAGAACATGAATGTTTAAAAATTCATTTATTTAGAAACCATGGTCCATTCTCAAAAGAATGTTTGAAGGGCATTTACCCAGAGGAGGCACTAGTCTCCACTTAGAAATCTGGTTGATCTTTAGGCCCACTACTTAAAACCTACATTGTTAGGGAAGTAGTTTGCTACATTTTTGCCTTGCAGGGGAGTGGCCTGGCAGACACTCAGCCAAAAGTTCAGAGAGAGTACTTCAGCAGGATTATCAGCATTTTCCTTAAGAGCAGCATTTAAAACGTTACAAAGGGGTGATACTAATAAAAACACCCCAGAGATGTTACTGGTGTTTCTAGCTTGTTGTTAATATTCTTGCTTTGGTCCATGGCTTTAAATAAATCTTCCTTCTTCACAGCGACAGTGTGTTTGTGTGTCGGGAACTTCCATCTTGGTTTAATCTCTGGGGTTTCATGTCTTCGATTTAACAGTAGAATGTGTTGTCCTCTCCTAGGGCTGGGAATTGCAGCTCTAATGCCTCTGAAGGTCACATAATTAGTGTGAAAGGAACATGCAGACTGACAG